GTGCTGCTTAATATCTTTTGTGAAAACAGTGATAAACAGCACATTTAAAAATGATTAATTTGAAATATAGATCTTTCTAACATTATAAATGTTTTTTGATCATTTTCATGCATCTCTACAGAATAAACGTATTAATTTCTTTATAAATTTCCGACAATTTCATGTTTGACTTCTAATATCAAATGAGGAACTAAAACAGAAATGTTTCAACACATTGCAATGAAGAATTACTTGATGATAGAATTAGTTAGGTGTGTTTATATTCCAATATTGTATATATTAAATGCACTAAATTTCAATAAAAATTCTATTCTATTTGGTTTCTCCACAATTACATTGTTGTGCATAATGTTTGAGGGAAAATACAAGCTGTACATGTCTGCTTTTATACTCTCCAAAACCTAATCCCAAGTATATCTAATAAAACATTGAGTTCCCATTATGGTAGAAAACCATTAGACAGACATGGTTGTGTAAAGCGCCGGTCAGAGTGCCAATCCACATGTCCTACCCTATTGTTAAGTTGACTGTGACTCTACAGACAGCTGCTGTAGGTATAGGCATTTGGAAAAGAGGTAGAGTCAGAGGTGAGTCACACACATCCCTCTGATCCTCCTTTCCTGAGGAGCACAGGGGTGAGATACACATCATTAGTGCAGGAAATGAGTGATCCAGCTGGGCTGAGGCTCAGGAGAGAGGCCTGTCAATCAAACCATGGGGCATGGGTTCAAAGAGGGGCAATGGGCAATTTTACAGCTCATGCAGCTAAACATTATCCAGCTAGAAAGTAAGTGAGATATCAAGTAGTAAGCTATGCCTCGAGACATTTCTGGCTTATAAATCAATACCTATTCAAGGGTCTCAGGGCACTAAAACAAGCACTGAGCTCATCAAGGAACATCTTCCTTGGTAGGACAATGAATCTAACCAGCTAAAAGGTCTCAGATTAAGCTCTTAAAGTGATAGTTCACCCAAAAATGAAAACTGTGTAATTTACTCATCCTCCAAACCTGTGTGAGTTCCTCCTGTTGAGTACAAAAAAAAGAAGATACTTTGAAGAATGTTGGTAACCAAACAGTTGACGGTAGCCATTGACTTCCATAGTATGGAAAAAATGTCAATGGCTACCGTCAACTGTTTGGTTACCAGAATTCTTCAAAATATCTTCCTTTGTGTTCAACAGAAGAAAGAAACTCATGCAGGTTTGGAGCAACATGATGGTAAATGATGACAGAACTTTCATTTTTTTGGTAAACTGTCCTTTTAAATTACAGTTTTGTGTCCATACAGGAATATTCTATTAATATCAGAATATGATCATGTGTTTATCATATAACTGTGATTGCCAAAACTGGACAGAATATTTTTTTTTAATCTGTAAAAGACAGTTGGCATATTCCTTAATCAGATATTTGGGTCACATAAACACTTTATTTTTTTTAGACTTCTATAACCTGGAATATTTGATTAATCTGGTTATGGTAATCAGGTCTGTGTTAGTTTAGGATCATTGGGATACTATTATAGTTTATTAACATTTGGAATTAGTTTTTATTTTTATATCTTCTGCTTTCATTTCATTTTAGTTCAAGTTTTAGTTATTTTGCTTTGTGTTTCTGTCATTTTCATTTGTTTTGTAATCATGTCTATGTACAGTAGCTTTTATTCACTTTTATTTGTACGTTTCTTTATACTACATCCAATTAAACAACGCGGCAACTAGCTGAAATTAAGAAGAAGAAAAAAAGCTTTTTTATATTTTCTTTTATTTCAGTCAATGTTTCATTTATTTCAAGTAATGGATTTTTTTTTTTTTATGGTTTAAGTTTTAGTTTACTTGTAACCAGGGTGATGTGTTTACATGATTACATGTTTAAAAATCTGATTATTATCTGACAAATCTTGTGCATGTTAACGCAG